TCTTCATCTTCATCTCTATCATCTTGCCTTCCTTCCACTGATGCAACTCCTCGACTTGATAGCTCTCCACTTCCTCTCCACTCTGCGTCCACTAAAAACGATGGAAGCCAAAAAACCACCACCGACAGCCTCTTAAAGCCGCGCCACCAATTTCATATAGGAGCTCTTAATGTTAGGACACTTTGCCAAATAGGACAACAAGCATCACTAGCCAAGACCCTGGCATCACGAGCCATTGATGTATGCTGTGTTTCAGAAACACGCATACAAGACCCAAGTGTGGTTATTCACCTAACCCCACCTGGCCAACAGGTTGAATCTGCAAAATTCACCTTGAGGGTGTCAGGAGATGCCACAGCTAGTTCACGAGGATTAGCTGGCGTAGGGATAGCTTTGAGTACTAGGGCAGAAAAGACATTGCTTGACTGGATCCCGGTAGATAGCCGAATGTGTGCTGTCCGCCTGAACGGATCAGTAAGAAGGAGGAAGGACTGCACTACTCGCCGATGCCTTTTCGTAATCTCCGCCTACGCCCCCACTGACTGCAGTTCAGATGAAACGAAGGATGAGTTCTACCAAAAGCTGTCTAGTTTGGTGGAAAGGCTAAACGCTCAGACATAGTCGTTCTAGCTGGTGACTTTAACGCTCAAGTAGGGAAATTGTGTCAATCTGAGAAGGATGTCGGTGGCACCTATGGAGCTCCGTGCCAGCGAACCGACAACGGTGACCGTCTCCTACAGTTCTGCTCTGATAATCATTTGTTTCTTGTAAGCACTAACTTTAAACACAAGGAGAGACACTGTTTGACTTGGAGACCCCCTTCATCAAACCAACGCTGGACACAAATAGACCACATAGCAATAAGCTATCGTTGGCGTGGGTCGGTAGGAGATTGTCGCTCCTTCTGGAACACGTGCGTAGATACCGACCATGCACTGGTCCGCGCTCGGGTGTGCTTACGACTGAACGGACGTAGGAAACAGCTGGCGGTAAAACCATCACGTCCCCAGCTCGATCAGGAAACTAAATCCGTATTTCAGGAAGAACTAGCTAAACACATATCTGTGTTCGACAGCTGTGCTCACCCTGAAGAAGCTTGGAAAAATATCCAGGCAGCCATAGATACAGCTGTAAAAGCTGTGAATAAGGTAAACCCAAAGGTGAGTAAAAACCACTGGATCTCCACCGCCTCATCCGAACTGATAGATGCTAGAAGACTTATTCCGGCGAGCTCCGAATTCAATGAGGAGCGAAAGCTGCACAAGAGGAAACTTACGAAAAGTCTCCGCAAGGACCGGAACAGTGGTGGGCGACAAAAGCCAAAGAGATGGAGAAAGCTTCGAGGATAGGCAACACCAGGCAACTCTTTGGACTCATCAGGGAAACGGGTGGGAGAAGACAAATCATCAGTGAGACAATCTCGGAAAAAAATGGCACTATAATTAGCTCCCAGGATAGACGACTGGATCGTTGGAAAGAGCATTATGAGGAGCAGTTTAATTTGCCCACAGCCACGCTCAACCTTCCGAGCATCCAACACCTCCCTGAATGGGATATAGACACAGGTCCTCCGTCACTAACTGAGGTTACTAAAGCTGTCACCAATCTGAAACTAGGCAAAGCAGCGGGACCTGATGGAATGACTCCAGAGGTATTTAAGTACGGTGGAGACAGCTTACTGTCCGGATTAACTGAGGTACTAGGCAGCGTCTGGGAATCAGAAGAAGTCCCATCGGGTTGGTGTAAGTCACTGATTATCCCCATATACAAGAAGGGAGACAAGTCTTCCTGTGATAATCACAGAGGGATTAGCTTGACTAATATAGTATCTAAAGTCTTAGGCTCAATAATCATGCGTAGACTGAGTGGTGCTCGGGAAGCACAAACACGAGAGAGCCAGGCAGGCTTTAGACCAGGAAGAGGGTGTATTGATCATATCTTCACCCTCCGACAGATTCTAGAACATAGGCATTCCTACCGGCGTCCAACAGTCATTATATTTCTTGACCTAAAGGCAGCATTCGACTCTGTCGATCGGGAAGTTCTCTGGAGATGCTTGGCTGTAAAGGGAATTCCAAGAAAATATATTGCACTGATTAAGGCACTCTACTCGTACTCATACAGCCAGGTGAGGGCTTACGGCGAGCTGTCATCTGAACTGATGACGACCAGTGGTGTCCGTCAAGGATGCCCATTATCTCCTTTTCTATTCAACTTCATCATAGATGTGTTAATGGACTTAACCCTAGGTGACTTCAGCGACTCAGGGATTGACTTGCTACCGGGGAATAATCTCGTTGACTTGGAATATGCAGACGATATAGTCCTTCTAGGCGAAGACGCTGACGAAATGCAGAGTCTTCTAAACACCTTGAGCCGCAATCTACGAATGTTTGGCATGCGATTCGCTCCCGCCAAATGCAAGATGATGTTACAGGACTGGACTACATCGACGCCTAGTTTAAAAATAGGAAGTGAAGTGGTAGAGCACGTTGACCGCTTCACTTATTTGGGAAGTACCATCAGCCCCAACGGGCTGATCTCTGACGAAATCTCAGCACGAATACAAGGGGCTCGTTTCGCATTTGTTAGTTTACGCCGACTCTGGCGTAGACGAGATGTTCGACTATCGACCAAAGGGCGGGTGTACTGCTCATCAGTCCGCTCCGTCCTCCTTTATGGTTGTGAGACCTGGCCACTGAGAGTGGAAGACATGAAAAGACTAGCTGTCTTTGATCATAGGTGCCTGCGTTCTATTTCCCGTGTAAAGTGGCATAATAAGGTGAGCAACATGGAGGTTAGGCGTAGAGTTCTAGGTAAACAGGGGAAATCAATCGACGAAGTCGTGAAGCTACAAAGACTGAGATGGTTAGGACATGTGTTACGTATGCCAAGCCATCGCCTCCCTCGACGAGCAATGTTAGCGGATATAGGGTCAGGCTGGAAAAAAGCTAGCGGCGGTCAAACAAAAACTTGGCATCAGTCAATGAAATCCACAACAGTTGGTCTAAGCCACGTAGGAAGGTGTAGACTTCCAGGCTGGGGTCCTCGGGACGGTAAAAATCTATGGTTGGAAACAATTGGTGACATGGCTCAAAATCGTTCTCAGTGGCGCAGATGCATCCACTCCCTGTGACTTATGATCTTCAATGAAACTGTTTTGTATTTCTTTATTACTCCTTTGTCTCACACCTCTGCTCACTGTTTCTATTATGCTTTTCTTGTACTTTCTTCTCTTGCTTCGCGTGCTACACGGAATGTGGCGACTTGAACTTCCGCACATTTGTGCAAAGTTCTATGTCGAAAACAGACAGACAGAAAGTTAGTACTGACTAGGAACATATGGTTATCTGAACAAAACTGTAGAACATGGTCACCGTTGCCGGTTCGTTGACAGGGAACTCCTACCACCTACATACTTCTCAGTCTGGCACAACTTCCCTACTCGGGCAATGAAGTTGCTTGCTAAAACAACTATGTCTGAGAGTTTCGCTTTTGACAGCATCCTAGACAGTTTCTGGTAGCAATCATCCTTTAATTCATCCGAACTGCAGTCGATTGGGGCGTAAGTGGAGACTATGAAAAGACAACGACGAGTAATTCCGTCCTTTCTTCTTTTAACGGACGCGTTCAGATGGACCGCACACAGACTGGAGAGACAGCATAGCTGGCTTGCATGCTAGTCAACTGATAGAAATACCTTACTGCTGTTACATCCCTGTTCCCCAGCAGAACGACTTCACCCAGACTCCCAGCATAGTGCAAAAAAAATTCTTCCACTATGCCGGTAACTGCTTTTAGTCTAATCGCTATCCTAACAACCTCCCTGGCATCGTAGGACCTGCAGGAACAACAGTTTCAGCCAGTGTAGCTTGTTGGGTCTCTGATATTCAAGGCCGACCACAATGTCAAGGTAGCAACTGTCGGTCGGGACATGACCGATAGAAAGGGGAAAACAACGACAAGAGTTTACCTAGCTGGACATAAATTATGAAACTTAATGCATCACTTCTCTAGACTATTATTATTTATGACTAAGTCAGTCAGAAAGTCTCAAAAAAAGCAAACGACCGTAGTTTACTTTGCAACTAACTACATTTTATTCAGGAAAAATCGAAGTGCCACGAAATAGTTCACTTCACTCTATATTCATTTCTTATCCTAACCTGTTGAATTCCCTATCATCCTATTTATATTAGGAAAATATATGCATCATATCCCACTAGAGAACAAAATGATACTAATATAGTCATTGACTGGATAATTTCATATTAACTTGTAAAAAAAACAGAACTTCCATTCGGGCCTTAAACAGAACCAAAAACAGCATATAATTAAATCAGGTGGTGCAATTGCACAAGTGCATCTATTCTCATTGAATAATGAGTTCACACTACCTAATTTCAAATGGTTTAAATACTAAACAGAGTTTATGATTCGTGAACTACTGTCATCAACCATCACTGATTAATTTGGCTTACACATTTGGATAACTGCATACAGATAAAAACGACTATATTACTTTTTATTGTGATTCGTTGCTTGAATTCCGAGAGAAACATACGCCTTCAATGGCACACCTCCAAAGCACTAAATTCTCTGATATTAATTTCAACTAGTTTCACGGACAGCTACAAGGTGTGATTCTCTCTTGACATGTAGAAATGACTTCGTTTTACTTGTATACGAAATGATAATTTATCAACCAACACTTGAAAATCTTTTATTTAAACAAACAAATCAGCCTACTAATGACCAATCAGTATTATTACTATTTGTAGGAATGTTATAGTAGTATACATTACACATAAAATGTGCTCATCACATAATTTAACTGATCACAAATTGAAAAATCATAAGATGTATAGTCAAGAAGTGAAATGAAGTAAAAAATAATAAATAAACATATGGAATGGAAATGAATAATTCAAGCAAAATTTAAAAGAAAATAAAAAAAACGAAGAGTTGTTTACAATATTATCTCATTTCAATGAACTAAGCTAAGATGCCGATGAAGTTTCATTTCTTTGCTCTTTATATTCAAGTACCAAGTGTTCAGCTTCATCGCAGAGTTTTTTACTTTTCGCCTCTAGTATATCTAAACATGTTGATATAGCGTCCAGTTGAGCATTGAGTTTGTTATATTCTATAAATAGAGTGTACAAGAGAAAAGGGATATACTTAGGTATAATATATAATAACAATAATATATAAATGTTATTAATGACAACTGGCTCTATAAAGACAATTAAGATACAGTCGTATGGTGATTAATTTGTACTGAAATCTATCGGGTCATAGATAACAGAATGAACAAATGTGCGATTGTTACTATAAATGAAAAACAAAACGATATAGTTGTTTTTACTGAGGTGTCGCTATTTAATACTCCTAATTAGCTTTATCAAAGTAGTATTAAACCTGAATTAACAAAATCTCAGCTTATATATAACAACTTAATCAAAGTTCATCGGAATGGGTAATTTTTACGTTGTCAAGCTGGCCAATTTAGTAAAAATAACAAAACCATGTGTACATTGTTGGATTTGATAAACATATAAAATTATAAAAACAGCATGTGTTTACATAATCAAATTCCTTATCATATCTGTGTTGATTTTGTCATTTCATGAGACAGGAGGGTACAACTAGATCGAATTCTATCGTAGTCTATTATTCCTAGTCAGACAATTTGGATTCCACTTGATATGAAGTGCTTCTGATACTAGGCGTTTTTTTTTATTTCTGAAGTGTTTCTGGATTATTTCAACATTGTCAAGATCAATTTTGTGGCCTGATTCTATAATGAGTAGACCACCATCTACAATTGATGATTTTTCAAACTTTTCTAGTTCAACTGGATTTCTTAGCGATTAAACAGATGCTCTACGGTGTTCATTCCTTCTGATCTTTATTCCTCGTGAGGTTTGTCCAATGTATATCACATCACATTCTAAGCATCTTATTTTATAAATACAATTACATTCAGAATCTTTTGCAGTTTGGTCATTTACGTGGACACGGTTATTTTATAATGGGAAATGTAAGAACTTTTATAATAATGAATGTCATATACTTAATGTCCAAATTTTTCAAACTGTTAAGAGTGAACTTGGCTTCCACATATATAAAATGTGCACTTTGTTGCTGAGTAGAACATACACACACACACACACACACACACACACACAACTTCATCGTAGTCACAAGAACTTGATATGTCGACTTCGTTTTGGATAACCAGATAGTATTTTTAATGTCTTTGTATATTTGACTGACACATGCCAGTGCACGTTAAAATCTTCATGTTTGTTTGAATAGCAAATGTTGTGTATTTCACCGGTTCAAAGACTTTATACTTTCAACTATTCGATAGTATGCTCAAACTCAAGCTAATTTATTGCGTCGGTGGCACAGTGGTTAGGACTCTCGTCGACCATGCACATGGTCCGAGGTTCGATACCCCGCCGACGCACACCTGATATCTATGGTTGGCCTGTAAAATTTGGGCTACCGATATCCATGCTGAAAATTCCATACTTGTACCAAAAATACAGTGTGGAATCAAGCTGCAAATCAAAAATATAAAAAAAATCAATTTACCTTTATAAAGCATAGGATAAACACAATATATAATCTTAAAGGCTCTTGTGAAGCACTCTGTTACACATTTTAAAAGCTAGGCCTTAGCGAAAATAATTCTTAAAGAGTGCTATTCACTGAAGACTGAAAGAATTATATACAAAACTGAACAGTTGGATAGTATGAAATAAAATTAATATATATTCAGCATAACTAAAACCTTTCATACTGATCCGAAGAAATATAAAATTTGCACACGCACCCATAAATCACCTGGTACAGCCGAGAGTGGGTAGACTTCAGTTATCCTCTTGAAATGCTCTCAAGTGGCCACGCATTTATAGCCCCTTCTAGGTAGATCCTGTTCACTGCCCTCAGGCAACAGGGGTGTTCCTCACAAGGTGAAACGGAGAATGCAAACGTCTAAAGCTTATATAACAGGACCAGCAGACATGCAGGTTTAGCTGGTTGATCTGTAAAACCGTGATTCCAAACCTAAGGTGCCCGTGGGCTCCACAATCTGAAAGGATCGAATGGCGTTTAGACCTGTTTTGGTCACCCATAACTATGGGGAAGTAACTCCTGATACTATTTTATTGCCTTGCGAAGCAGACACCTCAAGTCAAAGGCTCGGAGAGTGGTCACGTAAGACAACCACCTGTTTCAGTTTGGGGGGTCTTGGCAGTATCCCAGTCCTTGCACAAACTATAAGATTTTGTGTGGCATAACTGCTGTTTCCTATAATGTACCAAGTTTGAGAGTGAATAACAAAAAATATAAGATTTCACAATCACTTGTTTAATATTAATTTAATTTGGGTTATATGAACATTTGCAGTCGAAAAAGAATGAACGGAAAGACATCATGACGTAACCAACCATGTGCAAAATATTTACAAGGCGTTACCGTCAAAATGTTATGCAGATATTTTTTTAAAATATATTTGCTTATGTTAAAATATAGTATTAAAGAGGAAGGATAAAAACCATAGAAATCATCAGGCTTAAGCGCTGGATTAATTATCAAGTTCACTTACTGGCCGACTTATCATGTTACCATGCAGGGTAACCAAATGTGATATAGCAACGCTGAACTACACCAGAGCACACGTTAAAATGGTGGTTAGTGTTAGCTATAATAAAATTTTGAAACAAACTGCAAATTCGTTAAACAACGGCCCAAGGATAAAAAACATTTTAGGGGGGTATGTCTCTAAACAAGTTAAATCTTTATAAGATGCTGATAAAATGTCAATAATTCACTTAAACAGCAGTGTAGGCCCAGCTAAAGAGAAGAACAGAAAATAGAACAAAGCGGAGATGTGTTGGTGAAGCCCTATGTTCCGTTCAAAAACCCAGGGAACAACAATAATAATAGACAGCAGTGATCCACCACTTTGAATACTTGTCTATAACAATAATAGTTGCTTTATTCCGAGACATTATTTATGATACCGTGTAGAATTCTGAGTATTTCGTATATTATTGCATCTAATTCAGTCAATAACAGCAAAAACAAAAAATATATACACATTACAGGGTCTAAGTAACCAAAACTGATAATAGCAGCTTCTCGGTATTAGTAGTAACAATAGAGTCAAAAATGTACACAAAGTGTAAAATAATGATGGTAATAATAATGTTAATAACTAAAAATAATAAGATAACTTAAATAGTGTTCATCATAAATTACAAATAAGAAACAGTAAAAGAGCCAACTGTCTTCCTAATTACATAGTAAGTTATAGCTTTCACACATAACACTATCTCTACCACACAGAACGCAGGCCAAAGAGGGTATCCTTGAATTTTTATACTTAGTTGTACGAACATATAATCTTTTATAACGACTCCTAGTCCTACCTGATGAATTTTGGGGGGAGAATTTAGAACAGAGAGGGTGTTGAGAGTCAGACAATATGGAATTAGACTATTTCTTACATTAGTTCACGTGCCTGTCAACTACAATAGTAACGACCTGACTAAGTAACACACTGCTTGTTCTACTGACAACCTTTAATACATTGCGCAATATGATAGAGTCCTTTTTGAGTGAAAAAACTAAAGGGAGCGGAAAAGTAGAATACGTAGGATGCAGCAGTTAACAAATTGAAAAAGTAGAGTTTCAGTGATTCCTGATTATCTTAACTTCTTAATGTAGTAAGTTAGACGAAACATTTTCTTAGAAATCAACAAGATATAGGATGAAGAGAAAGGTCAGAGGATACACCTATTCCAAGGTATTTAATACCTGACTTATTTTCTATTTCTATACCCTCCGTGGTAGAAGCATCACATAAAGGAACCATTTCTTGTAGATCACGTTTATGCCTGAAGGTAAAGTGAACTGTCTGACATTTAGAGGGATTTAATGCAAGACCATTTTGCTTAGACCACCAGCTGATACCTGACAAAAAAGCACTAAGTTTCGAACAGTTACATCGGAACGCAATTGGCAACAAGACAAGCAGATCCTCAGTGTATTTAACGAAGATGATTTCTTCCGAAAGAGGCAAGTTATGTAAGAGGAAAGAAGAAAGAAAAGCACCTTGAGGAACTTCAACTTCAGTAAGCAAGGCAGAGGAAGACTTGTCTTTATATACAGTATACTGCACTCTGTTCGAGAAATAATAATGCAACCAGTTAACAGCCCATGACTAGGTTTGTGTCAGGGAAAGCTTCTTTAACAAAAGGTATCTGGGTGAAGAGTCGAAAGCAGATGTGTAGTCAAGGAAGGTACAATGGAAATATTTAGCCTTTTCATCTAAGAAGGAAACAATGTTATGATGTAAGGCAGTAGTGCATGAAAGAAGATTCTACACTAGTTATCAGTACATGAACCTATTCTATTTGGTTGTTTTTTACATTTAATATAAAGATTTTTATTTCCTTAACCATATTTACTTCGCCCAATTAAGCTCAGTCCTCCTGTTTATGATTAGTGGCTCTTAGTATTTACCTTTCAATTAAGTTAGTTGGAGATTTCCAGATCCCTTCAGCCAATTACTGAGCATTAGACGTTTACATAGTAATATTAACTCCCTAACAATAGATATGTCTAATTATTAACTGAGTACACTGAGTTTCGTTTTCTCCCTTTGCTCTTCTGGAAAAGTAATTTTAGGTTAAAATCATTTGTTACTTCATGAAATGATAATACAGTCTAAACTAATCGAAATAATTTTGAATAATTGCCATTACTTACTATAAATATAACTGAATTGCAACTGAAACATTCACCTGAATTTAGGGAAAATGTGGACGACTAAGACTATACGAAATGACAAAACCAATCTTGTACTCTACAGTGATTACAATTATTCTGCTTTCACAAGAGGTAATTCCCGAAGTTTAGTGGCTAACGAAATCTCAAAATTGATACAAAGCGCTCATGAGACGTTTGTCGACTCACCACACCTCTAGGCATTATGTAGACACTATGTACGCTTATCCATCATAGTGCGTGTGTACTGTGCAGCAGTTCCCCCTCTCTTCTATTTCTTTAATGTGTGGTCATTGAAAGTGGAAGATTTGAAGAAGCTAGGTGTCTTTGAACATGTGTTTAAAGTCCTATCTCCCGCATTAGACGGTATAATATGGTGAGTAATATTAAGGGTAGGATACATAAGCAAGATAATCAGTCGATGAGATCATGAAGCTTCACAAAGTGAGATGACTAGGAGGTGTGTTAAGCATGCCAAGTCATCGTTTACCTCATCGAGCGATGTGAATCAACATTGAATCGGATTGGAAAAGCGTGAGGGGTGAGTCAAATCAACCCATCAAGTATTAGACAGTTGGATTCAACCAGCCATTTAGGAAGCAGCAGACTGCCTGACTAGGGATTTTGAAACGCTGAGAAACAACGGAGTGAGGACTGGTAACATGCTTTAACACCATTCTTATTGATGAGGATGCACTCACTCTTTATGAATTCTTAAATTCATCTAATTCTCATTATCCCCGATTTACTTATTCTGTCTACTGTACATTTCCTTTCATGAGTTTAAAACTGTCAGTTTATTGGATAACACTGGCGCTTGAAACTCGCCCTGGATTTGAGTACCAGAATAGACATAATCGTTCACTAGAATGCAGGTAAATCTAGCTTATGACCGGGTGGGATGAGCGTAATCACACATGAAGAGCCGAGAAGACAGAATGTTTACTTATGACTGATACTAATAGTTCCTGACAAGCTCAAAAAGGAATGATACAGATTCCACCTAGTAACTATAATTCACAAAGAAATAACAAGAAATACAGTTTAAAATATATGGTACAAATGCTGTGAGCTCGTAAAATAAAACAACTGACAGGATCCTACAATTTAACAACGCAAGTCCAGAGTATGAACCAATGACTCATAACTTCACGAAACTAATATCTCAATGATACTTAAAAGAATATCAAAAGTTGGTATGAACCTAAATTTCACAATAATGAAAACAACTAATTAAGGGTTGGCTAGCATCATACCTCCTTCAAAAGTGAACTGTAGTTGCAAATCGTCATCATTTGATGATGGAACAGTCATCTTTTGGATAAAAAACGAATCCAGAGAACTTTAGGAGTATTGATTTATGTAGAAGCACCGTCTAACAATATACACAAGAACAAGCTATCGATTTTATTACAACATGCAATGGATGTCAATTGCACCTGTCGATAATTGGTTTCTGAAATAAATAAATAAATAAAAAGAAATGAATTTTGAGCAATATATGTACAGAAGCAATTCGACATCGAAGATAAGTGAAGACCGGGTAACTTTTGAATTATATCTCAAAATATATAAGCATATGATTCACCTAATTCAGGGACTTAGTGATAAATATGCAAAGAAATTTTAAAAATGACTAAGCAGAGCTAACACAAATTAGGAACTGACCACAAAGGTAGCACGAAACAAAACAGTCTTTCCTGCTTCCGCTGTAAGCGATTGCCTGACGACGACTGCTTCTGCAGACGCTTCAAGACAGGCTAAAAAGAATTACACGCATCAGAGAACGTGACCAAACCTGCTCCATTGTCTTCTGGAATTAAACAAGCTGAACATGTCAATAGACTAGATTTTCTTAAGACAATTATCTACCAGTCATTGAAAGTGGTAGACTTCTGTCATCAACCCATAATCGTTGATAAGCTAACCATGTTTACAGAAATTCGGCAAGTTAAATAACTCCTACTGGATCAGTCCTGATTATATTAACCTTGTGTATTTGAAAATGATGTACAGTTGCATACTTTTGGTCTGATATGTATGCACATAAATGTGATGGATAACAGATAATTCCTAAATCCCCTTCATCACTGTTTACTTGAGGTTTATAAGAATACCCAACAAAGTACGAAATTCAGTATTTCGTTGTGTTAGAAATGCTTGTCGATTACTAAAACTATAATATACGTATTACCATGAAAGCTGTGCACGAAATCAGGTACAAATTTCATCCAGATCTAGTTTTTAAATACTGTTGGAATAATGAGTTGATAGCACGTAGTCGCAAATACTCCTGTGACAGATATATGTACATCGTCGTAGAGTCATTCATTCAGCAGATTTCGTCCACCCTTTACTATAAGGCATAACTATTGTTGACTGATGAATGAAACCCAAATCCGATGACCTATAATATCCATCCCATACGTTCCTGCTGGGAATTACTAATCTTTGGATAACAAACAAAGCAGTGGTCTCCACACTACTTTTGGGGGTCACTTCCACAACTCCCTTATGAATTTCAGTGTCGTCGATCCGCTAATGTAATTCACCCTAGGTCGACTACAGTTTTATTTCTTCTTGATGAAAACTCTCCCGTTTAAATATAAAAAACGACCCCTTCTCCTCCTGAAGGTTGAGTCACAGTATTCGTCTTTCACGAAAATACGTCTCTGCAATGTTTATACTACTTTTCAGTAGATAACAATGAATTCTCTCACTGTGCAGATGTGGATTTCACCTCAATCTTCAGAAGTCAATAATGACAGATAAGTATATTAGTTAGCGACAATTTTGAATTCCTAATAGTTTACCTTACCATCTGGAACACTGACTCTTTTCTTAAAATCTGTGTCTCAATACAAGTCCACAGGTGCTTGTGAATAATGATGTATGTATATTTAATCGCCAAATGGAAAACGGTTTCCCGCCCAGGTTCATAGACAAGAATCTAAAACCAAAGAAGACTTCCGAACAAGTCCAATCCGTTCCAAAGAAAATACTTCTGCTTAATCTAGAATTCAAAGGTGATATTGAAGCAGAAATCCTTCGCAAACGCCTATCCAAATCGCTGAGGAAAACATACTTCGCCGCGAGCCTACGACTGACGTTTTCCTGCGAGAAACTGTTCAGCGAGAACGCGAAAGACAAGCTGCCACATTTGGCCACCTCAATATGCATACACCAGTTAACTTGCTCTTGTGAAGCTGAGTACGTTGGCCGTACCATGCGCCGACTTGAGAAACGCGCTCGTGAACACTACCCAGCCTGGTTAGTAAAAGGAGACCAAAAGCGTGTATACAGTTCAGTGACAGAACATCTGGTCAATTCAGGACATTCAGCGCCTTTCGAAAACTCCTTCAAAGTCATATACAAGATCCAATCAAACCTATCAAAGGGAGTGAAATCAAGACATCTGGGCATAGCCGAGGCGCTAGCTACACAAAAGCTCAAACCCACGCTTTGTATAAAAAAGAAATATGTCCAACCCCTGCCCCTGTCATGGCCATCATAAATAGGTAATTTTTTTATCAATGACCATCCCATCGCCTTTCTTCTCTAAACTTCTTGTTTATTCATGTTATTTTTAAGTTTTCTTAATCCCTGTTTACACTACCATATTTTCATACCCAAACTTCGTGTTTAGTTTGTCCTTCTACGATTTTTACACATTCAATTCCTGATTGCATAAACAATTATTCATCACAGTTTTTTTGTCCAAACATCTTGTCTATTTTTGTCATTTCTACATTTCTAATCCTTAATTGCACAATGCCAGTCTTCTTAGTAATTACGATGCTATTCTGTTTGAGTTTTATTCTTCCCTGTTTATTATGTCATTTTAATTCCTAATTGTAATTTTTATTAATTTGACCCTTAACCGGAAATTATTCTGGAACTTCCCCATCCATTTGATATAAATACACGAATTTACAGCCTAGATGATGACTTCGTCGAAAAGAAAATTTTCTTCGCTGCAATTGTCTTCTTAATCGCAATATGTGAATTTTCAGATTCAGATTCAGATGATAAGGATAGAAGGCTCTTGTGGCCTGTGTTAATCCTTGCAAAGTATATCTCTGCAGAGATCTAACTTCTCTTTGAAAGCGTTCACCGATGGAGCTGATACTACTGAATCAGGTAAGGAGTTCCAATCGTTGACCACTCTGTGAGAGAATCTAAATTCTGCACGTATTTTAATCGTCCTTGGTTTGAGCACCTTTTTGCGGTGACCCCGTAAATGTATCCTAGAAGGGGAGAAAAGGTTAGAAAGGTCAGTTCCTAAATCACCCTTAAGTATACGGTATGCTAAAATTAAGTCGCCTCTCTTCCTTCGGTATGATAACGGGAAGAGATTTAAATGCTCCATCCTCTTATCATAAGGAAGGTGTGAGATACCACTAACTAATTTTGTTCCTACTCTCTGTACTCTTTCCAGAATATGTGCCTCCTTTTTGAAGCATGGACTCGTCGCTTGTATGCAGTATTCTAGATGAGGCCTGACATATGTTGCGTAGAGTATTTGGAACATGCCCTCGTCTAATCGTTTGAAAGCCCTTCGAATTGCCCATAGCATTCGAAAAGCTTTAGCTGCGGCTGCATTGCAATTTGCAGTTGTTTTCAAATCGTTGCTGACAATGATTCCTAGGTCCTTCTGTTCTTTAACATCAGGTAGTTCTGCATCCCCTAGGGAGTACGACGTATAAGACTTCTGACCTAAGTGCATTACCGCGCTTTTCCTAGCATTCATTTCCAAACTCCATAGGCTTGACCACTCAGCTAATTTATCTAAGTCATTTTGTAGGGCCAACCTATCCTCGTTATTGTTTACAGTTTTCCATACCTTAATGTCATCTGCAAATAATAATGAAGATGAAGAAAGAATCCCTGGTAATTCGTTAACGTATAATAGGAATAGCAATGGACCTAATACAGTTCCCTGGGGCACTCCACTGGATACTGCTTTCCATCCTGATAGTACACCATTAACTCTAACCTTCTGCCTTCTATCCATTAAGTAATCTCTAAACCACTCACATAGGCATTGGTCTAGTCCGAAACCTTTCAGTTTACTAAGGAGACCTAAGTGGGATACTTTGTCGAACGCCTTGCTAAGATCAATAAAAACCACGTCCAACAGATGGTCCCTATCTCTGGCCTCAACCCAGTCTTCCCTAGCCAATAGTAGGTTTGTCAAGCAGGATCGTCCTGGTCGGAATCCATGCTGTTCCACAGCCAACAAGCCATGTGTTTCAACATAAGCTAATAGTTGATCCCTTATAATAGTTTCCAGTACCTTTGCAATAATGCATGTCAGACTTACCGGCCTGTAGTTAGATACCAATTGCCTATCCCCGTCCTTGAAGATAGGGCTTATAATGGCATCCTTCCAGTCCCTGGGTAGCTTAGCCTGCGTCAGAGACATTTGGAAAATCTCCGTAAGCGGAATATATATTATATCCGCCAAGGAAAGTAACAACTTAGGGTGGAGTCCATCCGGCCCAGGTGATTTACCTGGCTTCAGTTTAGACAGTAGTTTCAGAACCTTTGTGTGCTCTACCACAATTGAGGGCATCTGAGTGGCGATGGCAGTGACCTCGCCATATCCCTGGGTGGTACTATCAGACGAGAAGACGTCACAGAAGTATTCAGAGAGGTTTTCAGCCTTCCCTTCGTCTGACTCAGCCGCTTCTCCACTAATGGTTATGAGTGACGGTATACCACTGCTAGTTTTAGTCCTACGTTTAATATACGAGTAAAACCTTTTTGGGTAATGAACGCAATCTAGTACTAATCGTCTCTCGTACTCTATACGACTCTTGTTAATCGCATACTTACAGAGGTTTCGAATTTTGCGGTAGTCTTTCTGGAAGTTTTCCCTTCCTGTCATAACAAATTGGTCCCATAAGTTCTTTCGCCGTCTTAATAACCTCCTTATTTCACTAGTGATCCAAGGAGGTTCATGCGACGGCTTTCGAGGAGTGTACCAAGGTATAAAAGGTGAAGTGACACGATCTAGTGTATTCCTAAATCCTACCCAAGCTTCCTCGACAGTCTGACTTGTATCAACTGACCAGTCAACCACAGTTGCTGCGTTCCGGATTCCTTGTATATCCGCTTTCCAAATGTTTGGACGAGCAGATTTTGGCCTGTGCATGAGAGAATGAATCCTAAACGTAAAAGCAATGACTATGTGGTCACTGCTGCCAAGCGGCGGAAGGCACCTAATGTTACCAACGTCCTCCTTCTGGTGTGTCAATACCAAGTCTAGAGTAGATGGATCATGTTCAGGGTGATACCGTGTTGGTGCATGC